CGTTTTCCCCCGCCAGAGGACCACGTCCTGGCAATTGCCGAACGCAACGCATGGCGAAAGATTCACGAGAAGATGCATGAGGGCAACACCCTCAAGGCGGCCATGCTGTCGGTCAGGCAGGACACATTGTTCTGGACACGTGAGGTCTATGAGAAGATCAAGACCTTTTCCAGGGGCCGCCCATCAACCAGGACATCCATGGACTACGCACCACCTCAGAAGGGCAAGAACAAGTCCAAGGGCAAGGGGAAGTCCAAGGGCAAGCCTGGGAACAAAGGGAAGGGTAAGACCCCCCACCTGAACAATCAGGCGTCCCGGGGCGGTAACAAGCAGGCAGCCACCGACCCGAAAGGGAACCAGTTCTGTAACAACTGGATGCGCGGGCGCTGCCCGGGCAACTGCGGCCGCACCCACAAGTGCAACCTCATCCTGGCAATGGGCCGCATCTGCCTGGGGGACCACCTCCCGCAGGACTGCCCGGGTTGACTAGGGGCGCTGACCCCTACCCCCCGGGAGGCCTCAGGTGCCGAGGGCCCTGATAAGGCCCGGGGGGGCGAGAAGGGGCGCAAACGCCCCAAGCAGGCACAGAAGCCCCCTCCTGCAGGTGCCGAGGGCCCTGACACAGGGGGGGGACAGGCCAGGTGGCGGCCATCCTCGGCGGAACAAGGATGGGGACGGCAGAACCAGCGTGCACAACGCCCTCGCCGTGATCAGAACAGCCACACAACCGGCACAACGGCGGCGCCTCAGTCCCGAGCCACAGGTGCCGAGGGCCCTGATATGGCGGGGACGGGACGGTTCCCCGCAGGTGCCGAGGGCCCTGACACGGGGGGCCGCACCCAGAAGGCCCGAGTGCCGGATGACTGGCAGCACACCGCAACGCCAAGGGACACTCCCAGGAAGCAGCCGATCCCACTTCCGGCGCCCAACATCATCAAGCAGGACCCGGTGGTTTTCCACAAGAGCTCGGTGGGGCTGAATGAAGGGGGCCAACGCCTTTCAGCTACCCCCCTGACAAGTCCAACGGAGCCGTCACCGGGATTGGACATCTTCCCGTGGATGGAGAACATCCCTGAGCGTCTGGTACAGCGGCTGAGATGGACACAGGGCACATCGCCCAAAGTTCCATCCAGTGGGCCCATCATTGTCCTGCTCTATGCAGGCAAGGAAGACCCAACTTCCTTGGACAGCTGTCTTCATGCCAACTACCCACACCTTTCCAGCATGGTGGTGGCGGTAGACATCCTACGGTCTGGACCAAAAGGGGACCACGATATGCTCCAACCCGAGCTGTATGGAGCTCTTTGCACGGCAGCAAAGCAGGGCCGAGTGGTCTTCATTGGAGGAGGACCCAACTGCAGGACATGGTCCATCCTGCGCCACATACCAAAACCGGGGGCTCCCACCCCGGTGCGAGGGCGCACTCCAGAGACACTTTGGGGCCTTCCACACCTGGACCAGGCCGCCCAGACTCAACTTGATGATGACAGCATCCTCATTCTGAGACAGATGTACATCACCAGCCTGGCAAGGGCCTCACGAGCGGCGGTTTCTCTGCCAGGGCCCAGGTCCTTCCTGGAACACCCGGAGGACCCAGTGGTGAGCAGCTCGCTGCCCAAAGCCAAGGAATGCTCATCCTTCTGGATCACAGAGGAGGGGCAGCTTTGGATGGAGGAGAACTCCTTGACAGCAATCTCCTTCGACCAGTGCCGCCTGGGCCAGCTGGTCAAGAAGGCCACTACGCTGGCCACGGATCTCCGATCCAGGACTGGGATCAAATGCGGTGCACGCATCAGTCACATGTGGGCACCAACGAGTCCTCGACTCTTAGCAGATACCCTTGGGATATGATGGCAGGCCTGGCCAAAGCCATCGCTGTGTCACTCGCAGCGCCGGGGCACATCCGGATCCCCTCACAATTTCCGGGAAACCCCAAGGAACCACCTAAGGGGCGGGGGTCGGACCCCCCGGAAGGCCATTCCCCCGGGGAAAACGGGGGCCCAGTCAAGGAGGCGGTCCCTCCTCATCACACCAGGGCTCAAAGCCCGGAGGCAAGAACGCCCCGAAGCCCCGCCTGCACGGGCAGTTCCACCCTGAGGCAGACACCGTAAGCCCTCGTGGAACAATGAACCCAGACTTCCCATCTCCCATGCCCCCGATGGCCGGAGATGCGGAACAACTGGGGAAGGAGGGACAGGGGGACCAGGTCCTGCCCCGAATGCCTGCCCGCCAGGGTCCCACACCTCACTGACCGGGTGGCGATTGTCCAATTGGGTTTCCGCTCACGCCCCCTGAGGGATGGGGGGGGAAAACCTTCCCCAGGGAGGCTCAACCCCCCTTTTCGGAGAATTTCCCCATTGGCTACTTTGGGCGCCCTGATCATGACCCTTACCCGGCCCTGGATTGACAAGGTCCGAATGTCCCTGGCATCAGGTGCCACCACACACCCCTTCCAGGAAGCCGACCTCGAGGAGCTGCGGGCTATCCTAGGACCGAGGCACCTCCATGAACGATGCCCAGGACAACCCTTCCTCCTGGACTTAGTGTCGCACTTGGCATCCCTTTCAGGTGACCCTGATTGGGAGTTCCCCCTAACACTGAAAGAGGGGGTCCCCTTGGGAGTCTCGGACCCTACCTTGACCTCCCCGGGAGTTTGGCCCACTAAGGAGGAGCTTAAGGGAGAAGCCTGGCTGGGGGAAGATCCCCCCCCGCCAGTGGCTCATGATAACTACCCAACGGCTGAACTCTTTGCCAAGGAAATCGAATCAACCTTTTACGAGGAACGATGGTGGACGGGCCCTTCACTCGCTCCGAGGCGGCAGAGAGGTGCCGCTGCAAACCGGAGGAACTTTGCCCGGGCCCCCTTGCAGGGATTGATGAGTCGGACAAGATCAGGACGATCTATGATGGCTCAAAAGGGGGAGCAAACGCACACATCCAGGCTCACACGGAGGAGAAGACCACCGCACCGATGGTTGGAGACTGCCTCCATGCCATCCACTGGCTCAGGACAGCGGCGGACCATCCTCATCTACTCCGAGCCCCATCCTCGGGCACTGATGAGGAACCTCGGGATGTTCACCAGCCGGTGCAGGGGCAGTCCCCAGGTGCCGAGGGCCCTGAGAGGGACCCCCACAGCACCAGCCTGCCCCCAGGTGCCGAGGGCCCTGATAGGGGCAGGCGGATGATGGAGACCTCCGGCGGCCTGGACGTCTCTCCGCGGTCAACACCCTCAGGGAAGGGGCCACTCCCAGGTGCCGAGGGCCCTGATAGGAGGGCCCCATTCCCCCCAACCCCCCCAGGCACGGAACGCCCTGGGGGGAGCAGGGGGGAACCCCTGACGTGGCAGCCGCCGACACAGGGGGAAACCTTCATCATCCTCAAGGCGGATGTCACCAAGGCCCACAGGCGCATAAAAGTGCTCCAGAAAGACTGGAAATACCAGGTGGCCTGCATCCAGAACCGGTGGTGGGTCAATAGAGTGGGCACGTACGGCATGGCCTCGGCACAACTGTACTGGGGAAGAAAGGCATCCTTGGTGCTCAGACTCTTGTACTACATCTTCCCTCAGGTGGACTGGCACTTAGTTTTTGTGGACGACTACTGCTGGGTCCTCAGATGCAGCAGGGCGGACTGGGACGCCACAGCCATCCTGGCCACTCTTCTGGCGCTGGGAGTCCCGCTTTCTTGGAAGAAGACGGCGCTCTCCCCGGTCAATACCTGGTTGGGATTCGTGGTGGACCCAATCACGCCCTGTGTGCTGCTGGCTCCAGTCAAGCACGTCATAATCCTGGCCACTCTCAAACGGCTGGCCCAGGGGGACATCTTTACCAGCAAGGAGGTGGAACAAGCCCTGGGCCGGATTCAATGGGCTACTTCGGCGTGTCCATTGACGAAACCTTTCCTCCAGCCCTTTTGGAGCTGGAAGAAGGCCTGCACCACTTCGGGCAGGCCACCGAAGCTGGTTCGTGCTCTGGCCATCCTTCTGGGGAAGCTCTTCAACCAGAGGTTCCCACTGGCATCTCCATTTGCTCCCACACTTCCATGGACGGGGGCATCTGATGCGGGAGCTGGCAAACAGGCGGACCATGCATGGGTTGGTGGTTGGTGCTCGGACGTGCCCAACCCCGACAAGTCCCGAGTGAGGACGATAGCGGCCTTGGAGCTCTTCGGCCTCCTCCTTTTGGTGAGGGCTGTTCTGCTTTGTGCAGCCGGCTCGGCTTCTCACACTAGGATTCTGGTTGCTAGTGATAACCAGGGAAACGTTTTCTCCCTGCTTAACGATTCCACTCGCAGGATGCCCAATGCGGCCATCCTCATGGAAATTGTGTTAACACTGCATGACCACCAGGTCATGTTAGGACCGTCGCATGTGAAGCGCGACTGTAACACATGGGCGGATGAACTTACTCATCCGGACCCGCAATTTCCGACTGAGAACCGGGTCTTCCCCTCAGTCGAAAGCGAATTGATCAAGCTGATCTTCGCTACTTTCCTTCCTCACCCATGATGCCGGGAGGGCATCCGGTGAGGTGGGAGGATTCCTCCCTCGCTGTGGGAGTGGCATCAATTCTACTCCCATCAGCTGCTGAGGGGAGCTGCCCAGTGGAGCTGGGCAATCCTCCCATTTTGGCACTAATCCTTATGCGGCGTAAAGGATGCACCGTTTCGCGATTAAGGTACCAGTAGCACCAATGTGGTGCTTTGAAGAGTCAGGGTAGACTAAACGAGTGCATTTTTCGGGGAACCCCCTGTTTGGTCGGTTTGAAGGAAAGCCAAAAATAAATCAACCAATTTTGGGGGCCCCTCCGAAAAACACATTACCCAAACATAGACCAGAATCTGAACATCTTTGCAGTTTGCTTCTTTGTACGCCAACATTCGGGGATCCGCCGACGGTTGTGGCTTAATTGCCTTCCCTTGACTTGTTGCTCGCTCTTGATCCAGCATGCATTTTTTCTGCGATCAGATTGACGTCAGCTCATGAAACACAGAGAGTCCATGTTCAGAGCCAGCTGACTATTGAGAACTCACACTCCGCGAAACCGCAGAGTGACCTTTTGAGCTGGGGCGCTCAGCTGATTCGGAAGCCGATAGATGTTCGTTCCGTTTTTGCTTTGTTGTGTCCCCTGATTCTTGGCTTGAACTCAGAAACTAGAAAGGGATGACAATGGTTCGAAATCAAGCAGAACTTATGGCCCCCAAACGCACGTTGATTCCCGGGGCATTTGGGCAAGTGGTAAGTTGCCCTTAGGTTTCCTGCGTCACCCATGAGGTCCGCAAGTTCGATACAAAAGGGATGATAGCTGCCACAACCACACGGGTTGAACTGCTTTGCTTGATTTTGAAGGGGATCGAAAGGACACCAACCATTTTTGGGTGGCCTGAGTTTGAGACAGACTCGTATAGGGAACCTCTTATGTGCAAACGGCATGTGGCAGGTTGAGCAACGCTCCACTCCCATCGTGATTTGGAGACACACCAGCACTCTTCGGTTATATCACCATGGTTTGAACAGAAAGATCCCCAAAACAGAATGCGGGATGTACCTCTTTCCATCAATCACCCAAATCGACAGGATGTTCTTTTGACAAGGCATGATTGTGGGGCCAGAGGTCAGCGTGAGTCACTGTTTAAATTCAGGGATTTTGTTCCCCCAAAACAGTTTGAGGGGAGTCAATAGAGGAAAACGCTAAAATAATGTGGGGTCGGAGGACCACCTATATAAGCAGTGTCTAACTAAGTACTTGCTGGCGTTGGTGAAATAGTTGTTTAGCATTGGCTAATAATTACCTTGTGCTGCCTTAGTGCTGTCTTAGTGCTGCCTTGGTGCTGGTTTAGTACAGGTATAGGATGGTTTGCAATCAATGAATTAATAGCTTTGCACTGGTTAGTGCTGTCTTAGTACTGGTTTAGCATTGGTTTAGTAGTGTGATGTATTGTTTTATATTGGTTTGTGCTAGTTTAGTATCGGTCCTCTTCGGACCTCTTCAGTCAGGCCTCTTCAGTCCTCTTCGATGCTCTTGAGTGCTCTCTGACTAGCATTGGTTTAGTATTGTCGACTGCTGCCTTGATGCTGATTTAGCATTGGTTTAGAATTTAGAATCGGTTTTGACTTAGTTTAATAATTATTGACTTAGAATCGCTCAGTGCAGTTTTGGCTAGCATCAGTTAAGTATTGGTTTATAACTGGCTTAGTATTGGTTCAGTGTTTGTCTTTTGGCTGGGAAAGTGTTTGCCTCAGTCAAGTACCTTTTTCAACTCTTACTGTTGAAGAACCGGGCCTCGGCTGTATTTGCCCGGCCAACCTGTTTTCTTTTAAAGAGGGTTTAGCCAAGGAAGTTGCAGCTTGGGAGCGCGGACTTGTTTTTGTTTTTGTGGATTTGAAGAGGCAAGATGGCGTCGGCGAATCTTTGCAACACGGAATTTCAAGAGCACAGCACCAAGACAAGCCATTCGACATCTAGGGGCCCTGTGGGGCTGGTGCTAAGTTGCCACCACTTCAGGCAACGCCGCTCACAAGAACTGGGGAAACGCCTCTGTGAGTGACACTGGAAAGTGAGGTTCTACTCAGCGACTGTACAGTAGAGCACAACAGCTCTTCGTTGAGCTGAACAACCGCTATGAGGAGTCTTCTAGCTGCAATGTTGGTCACCAAATAATCCAAGGGTACCAAATTCAAGAAAGCCCTTCAGCATCTCAGGTCTTCCCCAAAACAAAAAGAGTACTCAATACAACATGTTGGGTAGAGGGGGGGGGGGTTGGCACGGACCGACCCGAGACACAAGTGAATGCGTGATTGGCAAAGTGCATTTTGCATGGTAAAAACATAGTTTTGGGCTGCTCACTTCGTGGGAACTCAAGAAAACCATGCTCAAGTTCGCGTACTCCGGGTCAGGACCCGGAGTACGCGGCGCTAGCAAGCGCAAAGCTTTTGCAGCAGCAAACCCAAGGCTGACCCCCTATCTATGAGGGCCTTGAAGAAGCGCTATTGGCTTCAACAGCCCCTTCAGGGCTAGTCAAAAGCCCCTTCAGGACTCAACGCGCGCGGTGGCTGCCCCCATGAGTGTTGTGGTGCGCACCCCCGCCAGCGTAGTTTGCCTTGCTGCATCAGCTGCCGGGCGGGGCCGATCGGTTGGCCAGGGCATCTGCGGGCGCACCTGCGCCACCGCGTGGCGAAAACACTGAGCTGCTCATGTCGACCAGCTTCTTCAAGTGCCTGAGCCTCTTTGAGGGCAAGCGCCTGTAAAGCTTCGTAGCACTTAGCGCGAAAACTCACGTGGTCCACGCTTGGCAAGTCAGCCCCGCAGCATCGATGGTCCGCTGATAGAAGGTTCTTTCATGGTCTGCCTGTCGCCAGATAATCGGAATCTGCAAGAATGGGTAGCACGGGCATGCAATGGCGCCATGCCCCATCTGGCAAGCAAATCCTTACTGAGCCAGTGCATCCACGAAGCAAAAAAGGTGGCGGTTTTGGCCCAGCATAAAGAACCAAAGACACATGAAACCTTTCAGTAGATGTGGCAACCTGCGACAAGGATCAGCCACGCCGAGTCCCGTGGCTATGCTAGCAGCCAGGCTTGGAGCAGTCAAAGCGGCTTCAGCCTCAGCATGAGCCGAACTTCTTGTCGCAGATGGAAACACTGCGGCGGGCCGTTTGGGCGGATCTGGCCTGACAAGCCCGCGGGCCAAAGAAAGCTGCTGTGTAACGACTGGAAAACTGCAACACATCTAAAGTTTGCCGGCGCGGACTAGCCACGAGGTGTCACTTAAGCAGATTGAGCCTCAGCTATGCAGCTGCAGCTCTAGAACTGACACAGGGGACACATCGCGCGCCCTACGCGGGCTAGGGGTCATGGATGGAAGCAGCTGCGGTACGCGTCTGGACGCGTGTAAATACATCTCCCCCCCTCCCCCCCCTTCCCCCCCCTCATCCATCCATGTTGCGGACGCCGAGCGCACCTGAGGCCAGGGCAGGCTGAAACCCGGGCCGACTGGGGGGCGGTTTCCCAAAATCTTCACCAACCCTGTCCCTTGTCCAGCCGCCAGGAAATATGTCCCTGTTTTCTCCAAGCCCGCCATGTTATTCCCGAAAGCATGGCGAAGGGTTCTTCCGCTGGGTTCACTGGAGTTGGTCTCATGAGAGTCATTGCAGGAGTCATTGCAAGGAATCATCATCATGAAAGTCAAGGAATCTTCATCATGAAAGTCATTGCAAGGTGTCATTGCAAGGAATCATCATCATGAAAGTCATTGCAAGGAGTCATAGCAAGGAGTCATTGCGAGGAGTCATTGCAAGGAGTCATTGCAAGGAGTCATTGCAAGGAGTCATTGCAAGGAGTCATTGCAAGGAGTCATGAGAGCCATTGCAAGTTGCAAGGAGCCAAGTGCATGGAGTCAAGTGCAAGTTGCAAGTGCACGGAGTTGAGTACAAGTTGCACGTGCAAGGAGTCAAGTGCAAGTTGCAAGTGCATGGAGCCAAGTGCAACTTTCAAGTGCATGGAGTCAAGTGCAAGTTGCAAGTGCAAGGAGTCAAGTGCAAGTTGCAAGTGCAAGGAGTCAAGTGCAATTGACTTGCGAGGAGTTAAAATCTCTTCTTAGGGCGGCGGGGTAGTGCCGACGACGCTCTACGAAAACCGACCCTCTGCGGGGATTGGCGTGGTCGAGGTGCAAAAACTCGAGGTGCTTTGCGATTTTGTTTTGGCCTCTGCGGGGATCGGCGTGGTCGAGGTGTCATCATCTTCATCATCATGTTCATCATCATCATCATCATTTTAATCATCATGTTCATCATCATCATTATTTTCATGTTCTTCATCATCATCATCGACATCATTTTCATCATCATGTTCCTCATCATGTTACGGTGTTCATCATCATCATCCTGATGAAAGTCATCTCTACGCTTCCTCAGCATCACCAGCAGTTAACGTCATCACTATGCATCCCCAGCATCAGCGGCAGTTCTCATGACAATCATGACAACGCATCCTCTGCATTTCCAGTCGGGTCTCATGGGACACTTGAAACGTATATGAAAAAAGAAGAGCGCCACGGTTTTGATGATGAACATGATGAGGAACATAAATGATGATGATGATGATGAGCACGATGATGATGATGAACATGATAAGTATGAAGATGAGGATGATGATGATGAACATGATGATGAAAATGATGATGATGATGATGAAGATGCTGATGAGGAACATGCTGATGATGAGGAACCATCATCATTTTCATCACCATTTTCATCATCATCATCATACCATCATGTTCCTCATCATGTTCCTCATCATGCTCATCATCATCATCATCATCCTGCTACGCATCCTCAGCATCACCAGCAGTTGACGTCATCAGTATGCAGAACATGATGATGCAAATGACGATGATGATGATGAACATGATGATGCTGATGAACATGATGGTGAAAATGATGATGACAAACATGATGATGAAAATAATGATGATGATGGTGATGATGATGAACATGTTGAAAAATGATCATTATGAACATGATGAACATGATGGTGATGGTGGTGGTGTTCATCATCATCATGTTCATCATCATCATCATTTTCATCATCATGGTCATCATCATCATCAGCCCATCATCAGCATCATCATTTGCATCCTCTGTTCCTCATCTCTTCCATATACGTTTCAAGAAATGCAGAGGATGCGTTGTCATGATGGTCATGATCACTGCTGCATAGCGATGATGTTAACTGCTGGTGATGCTGAGGGTGCGTAGTGATGATTATTATCAGGATGATGATGATGATGAACATGATGAGGAGCGCATGAAGAACATGATGATGAACATGATGACGGTTAGTGTGTTCATCATATCATTTTCACCATCATGTTCATCATCTTCATCATCATCTTCATCATCATCATCATGTTCATCATCATCATCATCATCATTTGCATCATCATGTTCCTGGTGATAATCATCACCACGCATCCTCAGCATCACCAGCAGTTAACGTCATCACTATTCATTCCCAGCATCAGCAGCAGTTATCATGACAATCATGACAACGCATCCTCTGCAGTTCCAGTCGGGTCTTTCGGCACACGTGAAACGTTTTTGAAAAAGAAGGGCGCCAGCAGATATCATCACAATCATGACAACGCAGCCTCTGCATTTCCAGTCGGGTCTAACGGCACACTTGAAAAGTATATGAAAAAGAAGAGCGCCACGGTAATGATGATGATCCGGATGCTGTGAACCATCACCCAACATCAGTGGTGATGATAATCATCACTCAGACAAGAAAAAAGACAAACCCTTGCCATGCGCCTCCCCTTTGGAGAAAGGGGTCGGCGGATATATATGTATATATATATACCTGTATATGCATAAATGTATACGCGGTACGTGTATGCGTATACGCACACACACAAACATGCATATACATGCCATACCCTCATATGTATACATTCACCCACACAAACGTCAAGCTGGATCCGTGGGCACGCCGCCGGCCTCAGGTTCCCCAGCCAAACCATGGCAGCCACGGTCTCAGCTCTAAGCCAAGCCAGTGGGGTGACACCTGTTTCGTGTTTGTTGTTTGTTTGTTGCGTGGGATGCGTGTTTCGTCTATTTGTCCTGTTGTTCCTTTCTTCAGGTTTGTTGTTTCCGGATTGTCCAGTTGTATTTCAAGAGAAGCACACCGTATGCCGGCCATGTTGCGGGATCGTACCGTTTACTGTTCAACAGACCACTTTGTTGCTTTAGTTTGAAAGTGCTTTCCGACTTTTCACAGGATGCATTGAGCGACCCGAGCTCCGGCCCAAACAAGGAAGATTCGCGATGGGTTCAAATGGTACTTGACTCGAATCAGGACTTGCGTGCAGCCTTTATCCCAACTCCAAGCCACATTTTTGTTGGCCGCGAATTGGATTGAGAAAGTACTAATGTCGCATGTCAACATGGACCCACTGCATCAGGTGCGATTTGGGTTCTTGAAAGATATGCTGTCCGGTTCAATCTTCCCGTTTCGTCAGCAAGGGTTGTTTCAACCTACCGCTTGGGCGACTTTATTATGAGGCCACGGCTTTCCTCTCACTTCTCGAAACAAAGGGTGCCTGTCAATCTGGCTGGTGTCTGTAGGCCACCGAGCCGGGGGTATCCCTATTTGCCTTTAAAGAGACAGTCTTTCGGAGCTACCTCAAAGAGCTCTGGTTAGGGACATGGCGGTGATTTGTTTGCCAGGCCTTGCTGCTCATCTTGGCCACACTTCGACCTCCCGTCAAAGTTCACTTGATGGTCCAAAGGGTCGAATCCATGTTTTGTTGGGTTTTTTAGGGCCAGATTCCGTGATACCAAGGAAACCTCTGTTGAAGTGAGGCAGTCGGGATGGTGTCCCCATGTTGGTATCTTGCTATCACAGATTTCGGGCCCTTTCCCACGTTCATGTGTTAAAAGCTGTGCCTGTCTCCCCAGTTTCTAGTTTCTCACAACCATTGCGCTCCTTGCCGTAGTCCTGAGACTTCTACCCAACGTTTTGGGCAAGGGAGACGGTTTCAGTCTAAAGGATCCTGCACCTAGGGATCGTACAATTCGAGTGGGGTTCCGGGGGTGTTCCCCCTAAGTGAACCTTCCAAGCTCAATTTGACACCAGGCCCAGGGGTTTGTGAAAGTCCCAGGTCGAATTTGGGTAGTGAAGACATGGCCAAAACAACCCCACCCCCACCCCCACCCCCACCCCGACCCACCTGTTCTCGCGGAGGCAGTCGCAGCACACAGGGTGGTGACCCTCGCAGAGCGCCAGGCTGCCCAGCGGGAAACGCAGCTGCAGGCCCGGCCGGTAAAAACAAGAGGTTGGTAACCCCAGAACAATTTTCCTGGAAAGCCGGCCCCAAAAACATAGTGCAACCCCACAACTGTTTTCTTGGAAAATGGAAACATGGACTACTAGGTGCCCCAGTAGCGCCCTGTGAACCTTTTTTGGTTGGGAGGGTTCCCCTGCTACAATAGACTACAGAAAAAAAGGGTAGCCTTATTCTAACCTCTCTACTGGAGGACCTAGATGGAAGCATGGACTACTCCCTGCGGTGTTTGTTGGTGCTTTAATTTTGACCCGTAGCCCTGTGGGTCTGTGGGGTAGGGGTTTCGGGAGGCTGGGAGCAAAGCTTGGAAGACGGCGTGGAAATAATCGCTGAAAAGGAACACCATCAGCAAAAAACATATTTGTTCTTGTAGCAAAAACATATATCTGAACAGGGGGGTTGGGTATCCCAGGGCCGATGTTTGCCCCTCAAGCTTCTGGTTTCGATTGCAAACCCAAACCCCTTGTGAGGTTATGTTTTGCCCAGCTGGGTTGTGTTTGGTTGAGGATAAGCTTCTTAGGTTTTGACAGGGGAACCAAAAGGACGCCATTTTGGTTTGGGGTAGTCACACAAATTTCAGGTAAAACCCGGTCGGAAGACTTGAACATGTTTTTGTGGTAGTTCTTGGATCACGTTTCTAGAGGCCAATGCCCTGAGTGGTTGGTTTCTGTTCTAAAAGTATGTTGCCGGAGTGTTTGTTTTTGTGTTTTTTTCCTCGAAAATTTAAGCACTCACCACCTCCGAGAGCCGACCTAATGCTCTTTTCCAGTTTTCGACTTCTCGCCGCGGATACCTTCTAGTCGAAAGGCGAGGGATCGATCTGTGCTTCTGAGAAATGTGGCGTTGATGGAAGACTCGCTTCCTGAGCTCGACTGAAACTTTCAGGGAAGACCATTTTAGTCGTAAAATAACAAGTTTGGTTTCTTTTTTGGCCAATCCACTCAGGATGTGGGAAGCAATCCTGGGGCGGTGCAACATGTCCGCCTACCATAGGGTAAGTGAAAGACGAGGATGGATGGGAATCCTACTTGGGCATCACTGGGTGGTGCTCCACAATTCCCTCTGCTTACTCGAGCTCCAAGAGAGACTCTCTCAGTCTTTCAGCCATGGTTCTAACAAGCGTTCACCTTCCGGGTTGTCAGAATGAACCTGAGTTGGGGATTCCCTTACAGGACTCCAACTCCGGGATGGCTTTTTTCTCGGCTCCACGTCTCATTCCCTCGCCAAAAATGGACGGCGCGCTCGCTTGGGCCGACTCGCTTCAGTACCTGGCGGTGCAGCTCTTGGCGGATCTGAAGACCGCCTGCTGCACCGCCCACGCCCTGGGCCGACGTCAACTGCCGAGCCCTCGGCGGATCAAGAGCGCTTGACCACGCGCGCGAGCGCTCGGGAGAGATTTGTGCGGAGGTTCGGAGACCTGCTGCCAAGAGAAGGTGGTCGTGAGCTTTTGCGGTTTTGGTTTTGCTTGTAGTTTGCTTTGGGTGTAGGTGGTGTAGCTAGGGTGGTTGGATGTCATGTGTCTGGACGTGTTGTTGTGCTGTTGTGTTGGTGTGTCTTGCTGAATGTTGTTTGCCAGGGCGGTTTGCTCTTTGCTTTGAACCAATCTAAAGCACATCAGACCGACCACAATTCCCAATAGACTCGAGCCCATGCAGAGTATGAGTGCATTGCGCATAGCACGTTTTTAGCAATTCCAAATAGTTACAGCTAAGACAATGAAATTGATTGCTATTGGGTTGGTTTTTTAGACTTTAACTTTGGGAAATGAAGGATTGCCCACACGCAGTTAAGGCTTTTTGCAAAGGGGCCAATAGCAACCGAGGAAGGTAATCGTGCGTGAGGGTGGCGCATTGCTATCCAACACACAGCAAAGCGATTGAAACCAAAAGAGTAGGTGCAGTCTTCAACGCAAACACGGGCCAACAGATGCGGCTTGAAGCGAAGGAAACAACCGCACCCAACCACTGAGTAAAGTGCGTCAGTTTGCTTCCGAGTTGGTGTGCTTGATGTTGTTCTGCTCTGCCTCTTGTCTTGGTAGCTCTTTTTTGTTGAATGTCCGCTGTGGCGCATGGCTTGCTCTGGCGAGATGTGACTTGTCATGAGTGGCTGTGTTCTGCTTCATGGTTGAGTGCCGTTTTCTAAGGACCGGCTTCCCCGGTGATAGGATCTTTGGAGCAAGTGATAGCCCATGCTTCAAGTGATACTGGTGGTTACGAAAACCATCTGCACCACCGTTCAGAAACCCTGGAATGATTCGATTCCCCTGTAAATACCAACAAACTATGGCTTGAACCATGGTTTCAAAGTGGTGCTGGATTTTTGTCCACCCACTGTAGTTCCACCTGGATACTAGGAAGTTCCACCCAGCCTCAGTTTTACCAGTTATAATCGTGGTTAGACCCATCCTGAAACATGTGCTGACGCAAGCTGGCTTGGAGAAGCGACCTGTGTTCACACACAAGGGAAAAACAGCCAGGCCCATGTTATGTTGCAAAACCCCTCTCCTGCATATTCCCTCAAAAAGGCGTCGCAATTGTTTCCTCTAGAAAAGATTCGGCTCTCATGTCACGGTTGGGTGAACATTGGTAAGCCTCTTTACTTGCCCACATTTGGTGTGTCTTTCTCAAAATGGCTTCGGTTTTACTTTGGTTGTCCGTTAAGCCGACCCCAAAAAGGTACCCTAAAAAAAATGGGAACTGTGCCATCTACTTTCACCCTGGAGGAATCATTTGCGAAAAAGTATGTTGATACTTAACCATGATTCATTTGTGCTTTCGCCTCTACGATGTTTTTCACTCGCTCACCAGAGAAAAATCGGTATACGCAGGGATTGCCAACCTCACTGAACACAGAATGGTGAAAATGCGGTGGGTGGACCAAATCCACCAGAAAAGGGGGGGAGCCTCGTATGGTGGACACTTAGGGTCTATTTTGCAACCTTCTTTCAGGGATTTTTTTTTTTAGGGTTCATAGTTGCAAAATAGACTCTAGGTGTCCATGGCATGGAGCCTCCTGCAACTGAGCTCAGTTCGCAGTCCGAGGACCTGGGGGGCCGTGGTGCCCGGGGTGCAAGTGGGCAAGGAGGAGGACATGGACGACGTCCTCACAGCGCTGGCACCGACCTCGGATTCGAGCAGAATGGGCAGATCTCTGGGGTTGGAAGCCACCCGGAAACATGGAAGCTTTGCGTTTCGAAGGCTTCTGTGTTTCTTATTGAAAGGTTCACCCTTTCATTTGGTTGGCAGATGCAAGCCAAAAGAAACGCTCATTTGTGTGTGTGTGTGTGCGCGTTTGTGTGTTTTTTTGTTTCTGTGTGTGTGTGTGTGTGTGTTCGAGTTTATGTGTGTGTGTTGTTTGTTTGTTTGTGCTTGCTTTTTTGTTTGCTTGCTTGCTTGCTTGTTTGCTTGCTTGTTTGTTTGTTTGTTTGTTTGTTTGTTTGTGTGTGTGTGTGTTTGCGTCGTGTTTGTGTTTGTTTCTATGGTTGTTTGTGGATTCCGCTTAGGGGGCGTCCGTTTTGCGATCGGTTTGTGGGGGCTCCCTGCGACATGACTGACATGACCCAAACAACTAAATCTTGGCTGAATGTTTTGAACAGGTTCCACCATGACTGTCATCACTTGCCCCCTTTCACGGCGGAGACACCTGCAAACTTGGCAAAATATGAGCATGACCACATTCACAGGTATATGCACCCCCCTCTTCATGGGGGTGCTACCTTGTTTCTTTGCAGTTGTTCTGCTTTGTTTGTTTGTTTTGTTTGCTTACTTCCTTGCTTGCTTACTTCCTTGCTTGCTTGCTTACTTGCTTGCCAATTTTCCACCCGCAGATCCACGCGCGGGGACGGGGCAAAAGGTTTAGCCCTATATAGGGGTCATTCCACTTACCAGAACCAGCAAGAAACTAAGCGGACCCCCAAAATGGGTGACGTTCCTTTGGTTTTCTTTGAAGCCAACCTCAAGAAAACACGCCCTCTGAATTGGTTGGTTCGTTAGACCAAAGGAGTGCCGACAAGATGGGAACCCTTTGATACAATGTTAAATTGCAAGTTGCTATTCATGTGACTGGAGGTGAGTCACACGTTCTTGCAAGGCTTGCCTAGTGGCAACGAAGTCCTTTGGTTTTCCTTTTCAATCAAGCCAAAAAGCAAGCCGGCCAAAAAAAGAGAGAGAGAAGCAGCTCCTTAAGAGCAAGCCCGAGACCCGTCTTTTCCCAGGCTCACCAAGCGAACCATCCAACCGACGCCCGCGCTCGCTTGGGCCTCGGGGAAGCTTCCGAGGACCGGATGATCACGGAGGATCGGAAGCAGGGCGCGGGCTTCGCGAAAGTGGAGTGGCGCCTTTAAGCTCCGCTCGAGCGATTCGGGGGGGGGATTGGCTGCCGCTGCCCGGGGGGGGTGTGCCACACCGAGAGCGTCGAATAATGCTGGACTGCTTGGAACCCGAACAAAGCAAACGAAAATAAACATAAAAAAAAAACGGTATCCGTCATAATTACCGGGGGAGAGGAAGAGCTCAAGATGATTTGGCTCTTCTGGCTGGGGGGTTTCTGGTTTATCCCCTTTAAAAGGCGGCACAACGGCACGCTCGGCGGCACCAAGGTTGAACAAGGGGCCATCTTGATAGCCGCCCAACGCGGACAAGACATTGACCATACTGATTATGAACATGGAATTTGCTGTGCACCCCAAATATGATAAGGGGGCCATACAATTATAAACCATCTCCTAACTTCCTAACTGGGGCTGGTGGTTTCGTAAGTATCAACATCGGCTTGCAGAGGGTTTGTTGAAGCGCAACCACAGGTTGAATTACAATGGATGTTTGCTTTGCTGTTCATTGCCAACACCAGTGCGCATTTGAGATATACACACCCCATGGGCCATGCGTTCCAAGACAAAGCATGTTGGAGTCAGCCTACTCTCAATCAGGCACAGTCTTTAACTTTCGGGGGTTGCTTTAGTTGATGGCTCGTGTAACAAGAATGCAGCCAGGGACGCTGAGAGGCTGAGCCGGGGGGTGTTTCCTAAGCCTTCAATATCTTAACGCCCGGGCTAAAACGAGCCATGAGAAGAACTGTTTTATGAGTTGTTACCTGCTTGGCAAAACTTCATTTTTCCTATTTATCTGCTTCTTGTCCGGGGGTCCCCCTATGTTGACACATTCCCTCTTGCAAGTCACCAACCATCCAAGAGATGGGACGCCCTTGCAGGGTTCCACTTTTTTGACTTCCCCAAGGTAGACTCAAACCCTGGGGCTTCCCGTTTCTTGAACCCCCCTTTTAAGTCTACTTCGTTAGAACATGGACCCGCCTTGCTTCGTGTCTGGTTAGAGCAGGACCCTTTGCCAGTTATCCCGACATCAGCACAGGTGCCGTGAGTTTCCTGAACGTGGACATGCATATCATGTTTGTCATGGCCAACGGGAAAGGGTCATGGGCAAGTGAGTACATGGGGCGAAAGTACATGGACTTTGAAATGGAAAAGGGTAATGGGCAAGGTGTTCAATGGCCAACAAAGTAAATTGGCTACGTAAGTGGGATGACGACGAAGTGATGTAGCGGTCATGACCAACTCCGGCTGATTGTCCAAGCAGTGTGGGTAAGTCACTGGTTCTTTCTTGGGAGGTGTTGTGTGCAAGCTGTCCATGCTGCACGATAGCCAATTGCTTTTTCCGCAACGAGGTTTGATCAACATTGTTTGATATGTCTGTGGTTTATTTGGGAGGTACACTGGGAACTCACAACTTCCCCACAACAAAAGAGAACAGGTAACGGTTCCAACTTTCCATTGTCCTTTTGGGGAGACAAAGTAGTATTTGGCCGTGCCTTGTTCTCAGTCATGTCATGTCTCGTGTACGTGTAATCAGTGACATCTAGCTTATGCCGATGAAGCATGATCCACTTGTTTGCCGTGAGCTTCAACAAGCTTGCTGGTGCTCAGTCAGGAATGAGGGAATGAACCTAAAACAATCCCTTATAAGGAAAGCGCTAGTTGGATGGTTCCTTTCGGGGTCATTCCATTTCTCATTTCCCAGCGATTTTGACCCCTGACCATCCAACTGGTGGTTTCCTTTTTTCGGGATGTCTATTTTCTTGACTGCTATTGGGTTGGATCTTTAGACTTTCACTTTTTGGTTGAAATCAAGTTGGGTTTTCCGAACTAAACCCACAACAAGTGAAAACCGTTTTGCAGAGGGATCGTTGCAGCCACCGAAGTTCCCCCCCAACGATTCCGATTCCCCACCGATTCCCCGAGCGCTAGGTGCCGAGCTCAAGCTCCGACGCAATGGGCCCAGGAGCCCAGAAGGCCTCGGGTTGAAGGACTATGTGGTTTTTCCCCCCCCCCCTCCCCTCCCCTGCCCTGCAAAAGGGGGGTGAGGTTGGTTGGGGGGGGGGTGGAAAACAACCTCCCCTGCAAAAGGGGGGTGGGGTTGGGTGGGGGTGGGGGGGGAAACAACCCCATTTTTTGTGTTTTTTTTTTTGGGGAGATGGGGATGGGGGGAAAAGAATGAACGTATCTGTTTGGGGGGATGAGAACCCTAAGAAAAACCAGACATGGAGAGGGTCATTTTTGGGTTGTCACTGGAACCAGTTGGGATGCTATGGACAACCCGCAAGAAATCCTGCCGGATTTGGGGGTCTTCACTTGTTTTTTGTCAGCACGCAATTATATGTTTCCAGAGTTAGTGTAGCAGAGGAGCCGCGACTTTGGAGATACGCATCCCCATCAGCATGATTCTCCCTGGAAGTTTTAACGCGTTCAACAGACCATGTAGCTACCTTGTTGGACCCAATCCTTAGCGGTATTGTGGCACTGCTCAGTTGCAACCAAAGCGAATCGACTTGAAATGACATTTATTTGTTTGGTCCATATTTAGTCAAGGTCCTAAAAGGCGATGGCCTCTTTTTTTCAGGTCCTGGCAGGTGAGACAGACAGCCAGTGAAAAAGTGTTGCCCGACGCCGTCATTTCAAGTCCACGAGGCTCGGAGTTCATAGGCTTCCCTACAGTTCCCGAAGCTTTGCGTGGCTTTAGAGATAGCCTTTTTTGAGTTGCCGAGAGCTTCCTTTGGGGGGTTGACGTTCAACCCAGCGCTTCCAGTTACCACTATGGTAGGTAACGCTTGGAACCACCCTTAAAAAACCAAAGGGTAATGACTGATTACCTACAAGATAGGGATGACCTTGATCTCTGGGCCAAGGAGAGACATTGGTAGCCCTGTTTATTGCTGTCCTTCAGCATGATTGCTGTATGTGCAAAGCTCGTACGGGTTCCCCATATATGTCTCCCTTGCAGCGCGAATTCAAAGTGAGTTCCTTTTTGGGGGTGATATTCGGATACATATTTTAGCTACTTGTAGGTCTTTCTTAGGATGGATGCGATAGACTCGTAAAGAGGATAGGGGAATATCAAGCCCTGAGGGATATTTCAGGCGTCCACAGGAATTGGTTGGATCCACATGTTCAACGGTCAACGGTTTCATACTGAGCAAGCGCACAATGCATTCAACAGGGTTGTGCTTCTACCTGGTAAACTCAGCGGCTGCATTCACACCCACCATGTTGGTTTATATATATATATATAGATGGGTATATATATATATATACATACTGTACTTTGTTTATGACTGGATGTGGGGATGCTTAGGTGTTTGTCTTCACTGAGTAATTAGGGGGGATAATAGATAGGGTGATATTTGGTGTGACACACCTAAGAAAAGGATCAACAACAAGACAGTGTAACACGAACACACGGAAGCTATCGTAAACCGTCTTTTAATAGATACTGATGCTGTACTATGACTGTGGATGGACCATATTCTGCACCAGTTGGGATGGATGAACCCCTATAGACCTCTAGGGTTCAACTCCACTTAAAAGAGCGGTTGATGAAACTCCTTATATAGGTAAATAATGGTGGTGATATTAACTCCCAAGTTTTGTTTTTTTAGTCCTAGTTTGAACCCCAGGGCAAATTATGGGATAGACCCTTCCCCAAAAGAGTCTGGCACTGAGGTGTTCGAGCCGGCGCGATTCGGGTCCCACATGCAGGTGCGCGTGTACTGGGGCTTGAGGCCCCAGAGTTTTCGACATTCGCGCTCCGGATTTTTTATTGAGCCGTTTTCCGCAGTGCGAGAGGTGCCAGGGTTTTTCCTGTAGGCATTGTTGAGCCGGAAGGGTAGAGAATCTTCCATTTGCTTGAAAGTATGTTTTATGGTCCCTTGTTGGTGTTTAAAGAACATCTATATCTACTGGAAGTATTTTATTTTTTCCAGGGGGAAGAACAGCAAATGGAAGCAACTGGCATTGGGTTAATTGTCTGCTCTGTTTCCTTTTCACTGCCCGGGTCCTGTTGAGAGTGCCTGGCACCGGGAACCAGCAGGTCCCTCTTAGAGGCGAGGGATGAATGGCACGTACTTAACTGAACCAGAGGGCTGTAAGGCAATTCGACTCATGTTTCCCGAAAGGATTACAAAAGAGGTTCCCACAAAGAGCTGCTTTTCAGTAGGTGTGGAAGTGGAGGATGGGGAGCTCAGATCTTTTTTCCGCCTGATGCGAAGCCTATACAGGTAGAGGAAATAGGAGCAGACATGAAGACAAAGATGTTCTAATGCAAGAAAGTCAGCAAGACATTGACGAAAGACAACACAAATGATGAGAGCAACGAACAATTTGCCGGGGTGTCGGTTTTGGGTAGGCCCCAGTCGGTTTTTGGTGGTAAGTTGTTTGGCAATTATGTGAGATTTGGTAAAGTATTAGTACTCCATGCTAATAGGGTACTCATTCGCAAAGTTGATCAGAAACAAAACAGGGCAGTCGCAATTTTCAACCATGGGTCCAATTGCCAAGCAGAGGTTCCTCTACAAACCAGAAACCTTGTTTGAGATTCTATGCTAACTGGTTTCATGCTACAACCATTCTTTGGGGTTCCATGTGGGTTCCATACCAATCTGGTTCCATGTCGATCCGGTTCCGGGTATGACTCAAATGCCCCCTCCCCGCCAAGCGCCAAGGTGACGCAGACGGGGACTACTTCCAAGCGAGTTGAGCGATCTGCGCCAGGAAACGTCAGGGCAAAACGAGCTTACCCATGAGGAAAGAGCCAGTCTCCCAGCAATGGGACCTCATCGGCTAGGTCCCCCGGCTAGGTGCCCTTTTACATCCTTTTACCAATTTTTGGGGGGAGGGTTCCCCTACTAAAATAGACTACAAAAAATGGTACCCGTATTCTAACCTCTCGGAGGACCTAGTTGGTAGTCTCCTGCGTATTCTCTTTCAGGTCCAGCTCTGTGAGATGGGGGGAAAACAAGCTGGCCCCATCCCTCCTGGCAACGATTCGACAAGCCCGTGAGGCGTGCGCATCACCCCATGGAGGTCCTTTTCGGGAAAAGCCCTGATCAGTTGAGCAGATTATGAGCATGGCGAGAGCGAGTTCGCGATTTTCAGGGTGATTGCCGCACATTGCAAACTCAATAATACAGTTACGGTCAGCAACCCACATCCGCCAGATAAAAGCTGACGTCGGCCGTCTAGATTCCATCGCCAACTCTACTAGTTAAGCAATGTTGCTTATAATTATAGGGTTTGTCTTGGCCATGTTTCT